AGATATTTAGAGAATCAATTTTTTTTCGTACGACCTGGATTAAATGGTATTATTTTTATGATAAGAAGTGCTTCTGCAAAAAAATGTACTCAAAACATAGATGGCGCTGGAATCAAATGCATACAAAGAAGCGAAAAATTGGTTAAGTGGCAAAGATGTCTTAGACACATCAGCGGGTCATCGATATATCAAGAAGAAGTGTGACGAATTAGAAACAACGCGATAGAAATATCATTTTAACGGGAAAACTCTTTCATGCTCGGGAACAGTAGGATTATAGAAGAAGATTATGCATACTTGGCAGTTTTTTCAATACTTGCAGATATCTAACAAGTGGAAAAAGAGCTCATAGCATCGAAGGAGATTAGTACGTACATATACTATGTATATGTTATCTCAGCGCTATTATTCGTGGCCTTGAGTAAGGCAGGTTCTGCCCTTCAGTCCTTTCAAACTACACTAATAATTTTTACATTACAAACCGCATTTCAACATTATTTTTGTTCATTCAGAGTGTACGTCCATTAAAAATAGATTACTAAACTTTTTCAAGAAAATTTAATCAAACCATGTCTCACTTAAACACTGTTTAATTAAATTTATTGTATCTACTAAGCAAACGATGATGAATTTATTAAACATTGAGAGCCCGCCCACAGAGCAACGCCTACAATATTGTCTAACCATTAATTCTTATGTCTTTATAATCTAATTTAATAACTCATAGACAACAATAAATTGTAATAAACGCTGCCAGCTTCCACTTCCGTCAATATTAATAAAAATTACACGGTTCTCAGCAATAAATACTCACACTTATTTATACATAGAAACCGACAGGTACTGAAATCTTATGCGGATTATCGGCTCAAAAACGGCTTAAACTGCTGCGAAAATAAAGTACAGAAAAAAAGACAATGCTAATATAACATGCAATTTGCAATTGAACTTGAGTCAATGCCAATTGGCGTCTAGCGTTGAATACAAAAAAAAAAAAACAACACTCACACATGCACTGGCGAATGGGCTGCACCCGCTCAACCAGACTGCACACTTTTCAACTTTATTTTCACAATAAAACGTTAAATGTTATGAAAAAAGTGCGAATAATCACTTAAAATTGTAGTGAACAGAAAAAAATTTGAACGGCGAGTGCTAAAAACCAGTTAGGCAATTTGTCAGAGGTACCAGCAAATCGGCAGGCGGCATGTCGCCACAGTACCAGCCCAGAGTTAATCTGCTGTATGCGTGTGGATGGGTGTGTGTTTGCATGAAGCAAACGGGACCACCTGTGCGTATGCGAAACCCAAAATGTATGTATGTATGTACGTATGTATGTACTTAGATGCGGGCACAAATGCGTAGAATTATTATTTTTTATTTGCTTGTTTAGTTTTGTTTTTTAATTTATTTTTATTTTGTTTTATTTGAGTTGGCGTATACGCACAGACTGAGTGTCTAGGCCTGGGTAAAATGTTGCGTTCGCGCATGTCATTAAGCGTCTGTGCGTGTGCGTATGTATGCCTGTGGTGTGAGTGAGTGTGTGCCTGCACTTACTTGTCTTATTCATTTTTGACTGCTACATAGTTCACTAAATGCGAGATGTCAGTATGCGAAGGAATGCGAAATGCTAGATTTTTGCAGCACATAAAAATGAAAGAATAAGGAACTGTTTGGAAAATTGTTTTGATGTGTAAACACGATTGCTTTCGGTATGGGTGAATTTGGCGTTAAGCCAGCAGAAAATTTGTAACTGCTTCTTGTGTAACCCAGCAGAAAGTCTGTAATTTTTCCACAACGCAAATATAACCGTCTGCAACTTTTCATTGCATAGTTATAGGCATATACACTGCAGTAGTGTATTGATATATGACGGCGGAAATTTATAAAATGTTGAAATTATTTGCGTAAACCAAGACAAATTCAGAAGTAGTACAAATCACAACGAATCTAATCAGCTGGTATAGCAACACTGCTTGTTTATATAGTTCGGGACTTTTTCAGGATAGCTTGAGGTATAGCTCGGGTGAGTACGTACATAGACACAGAAAAGGATAAAGGCGAAAGTAAAAATAAAAACAAAGATGCGTTACGAAAAAGGCAAAACTGAAGACCTATCTAAAATTAAACACTTCACTTATGTAAGGGCAGAAGTGAAGGTGTAGATGAAGAAACTAATAAACATAAAGGCAAAAATAAATGTAAATATTAGAAAAGCTGGGGATGAGGAAACCGATAAAAGTTAGAATAAAGATAGGGGAAGAAAGATTAATACAAAGGTAATTATAAAGAAAAGGATATGTGTAGATATGTAAATACACAGAGACTCAATCTGGGAACTGTTTCATGATATTAGAGATTTTCGGTATTCTCGGAACTTATCGATATAAAAGTTGGTATGTTTTATTGATTTTATTGTCGATATTTCTATCGATATTTATTGATTTTGTTATCGATACTTTTATCGATATCCCTATTGATTTTGTTATCGATATTTCGATCGATCTTGGTATCGATTTTGTTATCGATATTCTTATCGAATTTGTTATCTATATTTTAAGATTTTGTTATCTTCTTTTTGGTTGTTTTGTTATCGATATTTATCGATACTTTTTCGATTTTGTTATCGATATTTTTATTGATTTTGTTATCGATATTTTTATCGATTTTTTATAGATTTTATTATTGATTTTTTATCGATTTTGTTGTCGATGTTTTTTAGATGTTTTTTATCGATATTGTTATCGATATAGATAGATTTTTATTGATATTTTTCAATTTTGTTGTCGATATCTATCGAGTTTGTTATCGATATTTATTGATTTTGTTATCGATATTTATCGATTTTGTTATCGATGTTTTTATGGATGTGAATATCCATTATTTATCGATTGAGTATAAAGGTAAAAATAAAGATAAATGAAAACAGAATAACATTAATGTAATAAGAACAAACAGGGTAGAGGTAGGGATCTAGATAGAACAAGTAAGAAAGTCTAAGTTCGGGTGGAGCCGAACATTAAATACCCGGAGCAAGTATTAAATATATGTTTTTTCACCTTTCCGAAACCTGCCGCTAGATGGTAAGCTGGGGTGTATCAATTTTGAGTAAATTAGCGTCCTTAAATTTCGAAATATTGCAGTTTCAAGCATTTCTGAAATTAACCGTTATATGAAAAGCGGCCTCAATTTCAGTTCGATTTCAATAATTTTCAACCTTTTGCTTTTATGTGGCAAGCACAATAACTATGCCGAGTTTGGTACAAATTAGTAGAACGGTTACCTAGATACATATAAGTGATAATAAGTGGGCGGTGTCACGCCCATTTTCCAAAATTTTATCATGAACGCATTTCTTGGTAAAGAACTGTTGCAAGCATCAATTTTGAATAAATTAGCTTTAATATTTACTGATTTATCGAAGATTTTGTATTTCTCTAAATTACCGTTATATGGGATGTGGGCGTGGTTATTGTCCGATTTTAAAAATTTTCGGCCATTTGGTATGGTGTACAAAGGCCAATAACTGTGCCAATCTTGGAAGAAATTGGTGCAGCGGTTACCAAGATATACACATGTAACCATAAGTGGGCGTGGCTACGCCCATTTTCCAAAAATTTATAATATTCTTATTTCTCGTCTAAAACTTATTGTAAATATCAATTCTGAGTGAATAATCCCCAGTAGGTACTAAAATATCGCAGTTTTCGTATTTTTGAAAATTACCGTTATATGGGAAATGGGCGTGGTTACAGTCCGATTTCGCCCATTTTCAATACCAACCTACCTTGGATTAACGGAAACCTACGTACCAAATTTCGTTGAGATCTCTCAATTTTTGCTCGAGTTATCGTGTACACGGTCGGACGGACAGACAGACATGGCTTAATCGTCTTCTCTATTCATTCTGAGCATTTATGTATACATTTGTCTATATCTATCTCGATTCGTTTTGGCTGTTACAAACAACCGTTATAAGAACAAAATTAATATACCCTTGTGCAAAATAGAAAATTCGGAAGTTTATTTTTTACAAAAATTATTTATTTGATCTTGTCTCGATCGCTAACGAATTTATTCTAACAAAATTTTTATATTTCAATTTACAAAACAAAATTCTAAGCCATTTTCATTTTACTTGAATACAGTACAAAATTGAAAGTAAATTATATCAACACCTTAACTTGCACAAGTGCGCTCGGGTATAAAAAGACAAAAAATATAACCTTAAGCAAAAACAGATTTATGTGTGTACATATGTATGTATATTGGTTATGAAATAAACGATATGTAACATAAATTTCACTTCTCTAGTGTGGCCCAGTCCCACTTACTTTTTTTATTATTTTTTTATGTATGTTACCGCATAACTTTGGACCACGTTAACCGATGTGTATAATTTTTTTTTTAAATGAAAGGTGTTACCTCTTAAATTTTTGTATGAGAACTGAAGTCGGTCAAGTTTTAAGGAAAGTGTATTACTGTTCGATGTAGCTATCCTTAGCATGGATAATAATATGGAGTCTGTCTGGAAATGCATCACACGCTGCACGAATGTGGGTACGAAAACCTCAGCATCATCGCATAAAGTTCGCGAAATCCAAAGTTAAAAAAGACTCCCCAGCTTCATTTATTGTAACAGTGGATACCATATTCACTGGACTTTAACTCAATGGATTTTTCCATATGGTCCATCTTTGAGGCCCAAATATCAACTAAAAAATATGAGCCAGTCAACGTCTAGAAGACTGCTCCTCGACGCCATTCCGGACAGATGCTTCTATCCGCGCTTGAGGTGGCTATGTCGAACAGTGGCTTTCCCTCTTTAAAATGAGGTTCCAACCATAGAGTTTTATAAAATATTAGATATGTGATATGATAACAAAAATGTTGACACAGTTTTTTTTTTTTTCAAAATATATTCGCATATACACAATGCTCTTCTCATGCTCATTAGCCTATTTGTATAAGTAAAAAAAATTATTCCTTCAATAGTCAGTTTGAGTCTTAAAACTGCACAGAAATCAGGTGACCCAAAAATTCTTTACTTAACATGACTTCGTCAAAATGGTTTTATCTAAATTTATATTTAGTCAAAATTTTATTTTAACAATCCATAAGCGTTAGCATAATTTACACTTTTGAAGATATAAATATTTCTTTTTAAACTGTACAATTAATAAATATCCAGCATCCATCAACAATCTATATAAATTTATAATTACATTATTCTTTATCTATAAAAATATTTCTTCATCGGCGACGCCACATAAAAAACCACCAACCAACCCATAACCAATGCTACTGGCAAAGGCACTACCTCTGTGCGAGCAGCCGCATTATAGTAGCCACCTGTCACTTGCAGATTCGCCGTCTCAATGCTGCGCTTGCAATAGTCACCATCATAGTTCCAGCCTACGAATTCATTTGTGCGCAATGATTCAAGTCGCAGCCACTCCTCGAGCGGCGCGAAGTACTCACGCAGCGCTGTACCATCCAAACGACCCTCACCAAGTGTTTCCTCGAGCACTTCTTGCCATGGTTGTGAGGCGCCCTTGGCCATGATGCGTCTGTAACATGGAAGAAAAAATAAAATAAAAATGTTACGGAATTTCGCACAAAAAAAAATTAAAATATGCAGTTCTTCTCCACCAACCGTCCTTTCAAGAGGGACATTTTTTATAATTTTATTTCCACGAAACTATCAGTTCTATGTGTAAGCAATTTATTTCGCAAAAGTAAAATTTTCAACTGCGGAACAAATTTTCGCAAATCATAAAGTACTTTAAAATTTTGAATTTAGTTTTCGTACGAATTCTGAGGTTAGTGTGTGGCGAACAAATTTTTGCAAATATTTGCATACTAATTTCCACTTACTTTAATAAATTTCCTGCTTCCGGATGTCGATAAATATCGCATCGATGGAACGGCTTGCGTGGATCTCCAGGCACATATTGACCACTGACGCGGCACATGCCACGATAAATTTGAAATTGCAAAATAGTGGAGACATAGTATCTGGAAGTAGATCAAAAAAAGTGAAATTGTTACTAAAATTTTTAGCTACTAGTAATTATTATTATTAGTAGTAGCTATTAGTAACTACTGAATGAAAATTGAGAAAGGCAAATGTTGGCAGTAGCTGCGAATAAATAAACAAGCCAAAATGTATGCACCATACGCTTAGCGGTGCATTTAGTCAACAGTTTTTTTTTTTTTTGCATCCAGCAACTTCTCAAATAGCACAAGGAATTCAAAATTCGGCAAAAACCAAAAACTGCTGCTGAAAATCTCTTAAAAATCACAAAAAGTATTATAGTATATCAGTAAGCTAAATTTCTCTTTTTTTCTTTTTTGATAAAGTTTTTGTTTTTAATTTTTAAGGTTTTAGACATATAAAGTTTTTAATATCATTCAATTTTCATTAACTTATTTTATGCATATTTTCTTTTTAAATTTAGTTTTCATTTAATTATTAGATGTTCTTTAAAAAACAAAATACACTTTTTTATTTCATTTAACTTTACGGAAGTTTACTTTTCTTTTAATTTTTAGATTTTATTGTTTAAGAAGAAAAAAATTTTTAAAAATTTTATTTTGTTCTTAGAAACTTATCTTATATACTTATTTTCAATTTTTAGATTTTATTTTTCTCCAAGCAAAAATATCTTTTCATTTCATTTAATTTTTAGAACTTTCTTTAAATTTTTTGTGTTTTTTAATTTAATTTGCTTTTAAGTTTATCTTTTAAGTTTATGCTTTTAAGTAATGATTAATATAACCATTTATTTTTTTTTTACTTTTAAGTGGTATTTTCTTATTTTCTGATTTAATTTTTTCCAATTTCATTTTTGATTTAAAAGAATATTTTTCTTTAATTTCATTTAATTTTTAAAAATATTTTGATTTACAGAGAGCGCCTGACGAAAAGCAGAACATATGCAACTGCAAGGTCTGTCTGACTGAGGCAGGCGGTTAAGGGATCGTCAAGGGCTCAAAAGGCTGTCCTTCTTCTCTTGTTTTTGCGCTATAACCGCCTAAGAGATTTTGGTCGAGTTCAACAAATACCCTCGTTTTTTTAAGCTGCCCAATTTTTGCTAGGTTACGATCTTAACACCTTGGATCGCATTCTCCCTTAGATTGGAATCTCCTGTCTGAGAATTTTCGTTTTTCGTTATAACTTAGCGCTTGGCCTAAGTATGCGCATGGATCAAATACATTAACCTTACCTAACCAATTGTCGAAGAATCAATCAGTGAATTATGTACATATGAATGTACATGTCTTTAATTTCAAAATATGTACTTTTTTATGCTCTCCAAAAATCTGTTCAAATAAAAGAGATTACGTGTGTATATTAGACTGGTTACAAAAATCGACTATTCATTTTTTTCAAAATTTTTTTGTAAAATATCTTCGGGACAGAAAAATATGTTAAGATTTAACACAAATAACACCGGAAAAATTGTTTTCAGTTTCGAAAGTTTATAACTCATCAAAAACTTATAAATAGAAATTAAAATTGAAATAAAATAATAAGTCAGTATAAATAAAAAAAAAAATTAATTAAAATTAGGTAATTAGAACATTTTCTTCAAAATTTTATTTTTAATGCGGAAATGTTTCTAGAGCATATATGTAGATGCATTTCTGCATTAAGAAAAAACTAAAAAAAAATGTCGCTTATATCTTTTTGGTGGCTAGGGCTCGATATGTTCGACTTTAACCTTAAAAACTTTTGTAGAAGTAAATTTAGTTTTTATAACTTTCAATTTAAAATTTCAAAAAAAAAAAACAAACTAATTATAAAATTCCCAAATTAAGAAAGTTTTTTGTGCGTATTTGTGTAGATATGTATGAAAAATAGATATTTGCGATGAGCGACCACTAAAACTTAATATTAAGTGCTGTGCTTTCGGCAGGCGTCTTTTTCACTGTCCCGAAAATATTCCCCAAGGAATAAAAAAAAAATATGTAGATTTTTTGAACCAGTCTATGTATCCTGAAATAAACTATCTTACATTTTTCCACCTAAACAAGCATTGAGATTGTTTTAGATTAGTTTTTAATATTTATTTTTATATAGTTAACGATCAACATTTTTATTTATTTCAGTGTCAGAGTAGTAAAATAAATTTAATTTCGCAATAAAAAAGTGTACTTTAAATCAGCATAAAATCATATTTTTAACATACTTTGTAGCATCAAAGAGCAGAATGTATGAATTTGCACAATTTGCTGCTCGATTCAAAAATTTTCTACAAATCGTCTGAATAAAACCCAAGCAATTTATGTATCAATTGAGAGCGGGAAATCACAAAAAAAAAAATTATAATTAAACACGTACTCACTTATGGAGAAGTGCATGGCTAAGCATTTGTGTGGCTATAAAAGCACATGAACATTAACAGTTAATTTAATTAGCTACTGAAATTGTTTATGACTAAACATGACAAAAAAAAAACAAACGAAATAGATTTTTATGAGCTAAAATTTTGCAACATAGCGCAAGGTCATGTTACGACATCATTTGTATGTGACGAATTTAAGTTTTCGTGTTTTTGTACTTTTGTGTGTTTTTTTTTTTTTTTTTTTGTTTTTTTTTTTTTTGCGAACTGGGTAGCATGTTTCTTTTATGTTTGTATGTATAAGACGAAAAGCATGCATTGTCAAAAATATAATAGACGAAAAAAATAATAAATCTAGTTTCTTAAAATTTTTTAAGTTTTTTTCATCATCGAACAGAATTTAAAAAAAAAACCGAATAAAGCCTTTACGTTTGTCAATAAATTATAATTACATTTACAAACATGTTTTCTATACTCTGCCCCTTGGCTGCAATGCAAAATTATTATCACCATCAAAATTTTATGCTCCACAATTTGTACTCAAACAGCCAGCCACCAGCTGTGAGAGGGCAAACATTAAATTACAAAAAATTTGCTACACATAAAAGTCGTAGCATTAAATTTTAACTCAAATACAACTTTGTGTAAGTTTATTGCTGCAGCAAGTCATAGCCACTTAACACATACAACCCCCATGCGCTGCTCTGTGGTGCGCTTGCTCTATGCTCACTACCGGATACAATTCTAAAGCAACACGGAATCTGTTACATTTCGCAATATCCACAAATCATTAACGGCTAAGTAATGAGCCATAACAAATAGACAGCCAATACACCATAACTTTCTGGTGTTTATTTATGGCTGCACTGCACAGCATTTGCCCTCACTTTTGCCACCACATACCGTTGACTCAATTCTATGCTAATATTTAAGTAAGTAGTGCGGCGTCTATGCCCCCGATGCTGCTGTGAAAACGAAATTAGCCATAATCAATGGTAATTATTGTTGACTTACAAATTAGGTGGTGCACCGTTGTTACTTGAAACAGATATATATAAATTTAAATTTACTTAAATCACTTTGCGGTTTGAAGGCTGCGCTTTGCTTTTTGTTGATGTGGGGTGTTAGCCGTGGGCAGTGCTTAGGGTGTTTTAGCTTTGATTTCTAAACGAAATGTGATGGTCACGTCTTGTTGTTTCTGATTTGCCTAATTGGTGGTATTTAACTCAACATTTTGTATGTCAATTATGGTAATTTCGCGCTAAACAAAAGACTTATGATACAAACTTGTGTTGTATGTAGCAAAAGGTAAAAGGAACTTGCAAATTGTTGTAAAGATAATTTTAATATTGAAAGTTGATCAATGACGAATTAATTGATGCATAAAAAAGTCTTCTTTTGGCTAGAAAATTTATAAAGCTATATATATTTGCTTGTGTTTAGCATTCAACTCATTCGTTTGCTGGAAGAGCGTCATAGATAATACCAGATCTTCTTTATGTTGGTTAAAACCAAATTTAGCAATGCATTTACTGCGCAATTCTGGCTTATGTATGTATGTATTTCGTAAGAAAAGTCAAAGACAGTTGGTAAGATAGTTTGAAAGACTTTTGTTATTCCAGCACAAACGTCTTAGAAAAAAAGCTCTCTCATCCATTAATCGTGGTGAAAATTTATTTTGAGGGAAAGCGTTTTATCTAGGCGTCGCCCTAACAATCGCAATGGCCGAGTGAGCGGAGCACTGGCTTTTTATTTTTGTATCAACATTTTTTCTTTTAAGTTTTAGATTGTATTATTAAAAAAAAAAATAAACTATATATTTTTAAATTCCATTTATTTTTTTACCCTTTTTCACGAAATTTTTTTCTTTCTTGTTTTATTTATTTTTAGCTTTTAGATGTTATTATTTTAAAAAGAAGATTTTTTATTTAATTAAATTTTTGCGAACTTATTTAATTTTTGCAATTTTTAAATAATTTTTCTTTTCTTTTTAAGTTCCATTTTCTTTAACATTTAGAAAGATATTTTTTTAATTAATTTTTTTTTTTTTTTATTTAACTTATTTTTATTTTGTTAATTTCATTTTTCTTTCATTTCTAGATTTTATTGTTTTAAAGGAAAAATATATATATTTATATATAAATGTATATATATATATTTATTTCATTTTATACTTAAGATCTTATTTTATTTTTTGTTATTTTATTTATTTATATTTTTAGATTTTGTTTTAAACTTACAAATATTTTTTTTTTATTCTTTTAAAGTTTTAAGTAGATACTACTTTCTTCTTTCTAGATTTACTGTGTTTCTTTTTCTAACTCAGTTTTTAGATTTTTTTATTATCTATATTAATAAAAATGTTGTGTTCGTATGTCACGGTCGTCAAGACTCGAGAACGGCTGAACCGATTTGAATAATTTTTTTTTTGTATTGTTTGGTATAATACCAGAACCTATTTGACAATTTTTAAACCCAATTATATTGATAAAATAAATAAATTATTACAATATGGGTATCAAATTAATGAGGTTTACGAAATATAACTGCTGGAAATATCTTTGACGAGGATTGCCACCTATTTGAAAATTTTAACTCAGTCAAATTGATAAAATAAATGAAATATTGCCATGTGGGTGTCAAACTAAAGAGTTTTAAGAAGGCTTACGG